CTGCCCAAGGAGAAGAGGCACAAGGGCCGAGGGCCCAGCCTGGACACAGAGGACATGCAATCTCCGGGTCCCTCCCGCGGCCAGGAGCTCTTTGCCAGGACCTCCCAGAGGCCAGTGCTATTGGGCCCAAGGACCAAAAAACCACAGCTGCCTCAGTGGCCTCCCTAGACTCAGCCCTCGGAACCCCCTTTCAGAGCCCACAGCCCCGCCCCTGCTGGCCCTCCCCTCACGCCCCTACCCCCCATGCCTCTGCTTGTTTTCTGATCAATGTTCTTCTAAAAAGCACCTCTGCCCCGCCCAGAGTTTTCCCATCCAAACCCTCAGGTCTGAAGCAGCAAGTTGAAAACCCAATTACATTTCAATTACTCTAGTCCTAGCCAGACAGAGGTTACTGTAAGTCACATCAGAATCAGAAGGGAGGGGGAGGTGGCACCTGGGGCCAGTGCCCGGCTGACACTTGAAGATTGATGTGACAGGGACCTGTGGCTCAGAGGCTCAAGATTAGATCAACGTGGCTGGGGCTGGCTGGCTGGTTCCAGGAAAGAGGTCATGTGGGCACCAGCTGACAGACAGTTTGGGCAAAGCAAAGGCTTCAGGCCAGCCCTCTCTTGTCAGAGGCACCAGGGTTGAGGGCCCAGCCTCGAGATGGGGGAACTGAGGTCCCTGGGTCCCTTTCCTGGGACAGGCATTTTGCCAGGAGCTGCCAGAGTCCAGTGCTGTTTTGCGCAAAGACCAAACAACCACAGCTCCTCGTGTGTCTTCCAGAGCTCACTGACCCCCCTGTATTTCCTCTAAGCATACACCCAGGCCATCACTGAGTGGGCCAGACTCAGGACCAGAGGCACCTGGGGGCCCAGAGCCTCCTGCCTGAGCAGGGTCTGATAGGGGAGAAAGAGAGATCTGCTGCCTTAAGGAATCACTCATGATCCTGGGGAGCAGCCATCTTTGGGGTACCAAGGGATAAAGAGGGGGTTGGAATTGGTATCCCTGGTAAGGGTAGATGGGACCGGCTCTGTGAAACTGAATGTGGTGAGGGGGATTCTCAGCCATGATTCCCTCTCTACACAGACACGTGCACCCCATGTATAATGATCTGGGGGGACTGGGGGAGCCCCTTGCTCACCCCAACCCAGGGTGTCTGGGAGGCCCTGAGTTATGGAGCTCTGAGCTCTGGGCTGGGTCCTAAGCAAGGGCTGCACTGAGCTCAGCTGGGGCCCACGACCCACGCAGACACACACACACTGTTGTACCTTCCGCATCATGGGCTGCACCTTGTTTGCCACAGCTGTCATTTGAATGTCCCCACATGATCTGCCTCTCATCGCCCCCACCTGCTGCAGCCCCCTCCCCAGCCCCTACAGAGCCAACAGTTGCAGCTCTAGATGGGGGGGTTCGTGTGGGGGGATGAATCATCGCTGTGGGAGCAGACACTGGGAGACCAGTCCTAGCCAAAACCACAGTTACACATTCAGACCCACTCTGAGAGACATCCCCCCCCACACACGCACACATAACTCGTAAACACAAACACCAAAAACAGGGACAAATCAACACTTATATAGACACATCCCACCCAGGATAACCCCAGTCATCAACCCACAGCCTGTCCCCTACCCATATGCACAGTCAGACACCAACACTCAGTCATACATTGGATTTCCTAGACACACACAGCCCTTACTTGAATTCAGAGACTCAAACATGAAAACACACGGGTATGCACGTGAATGCAGGTGCACGCACATGTGTGCGCATGTGTGCACGCACACACACTAATCAGCTCCACTTCTTGAGTCCCCTCATTCATTCCCCTATCTCCTGCAGCACCTAGGGCAGGCAAGACAGACTTTTGGAACCACAGAGATGCTGCGACCCCATCACCCACTGTGCAGATGCCATCCCGGCCCAAGGACAAAGCTCTGCCTTGGGCTTAGCTTCAGGCCTCCCTCCTGCTCTGCAGAGGTGAAGGTCACTGGAGCTGTCTCTTGTGCGGCCAGGCTCCCCTCCCACACATTCTGTGCCTAACAGCGCATCTCTAGCACCTTTGAAAAGGGCTTCAGCTGCAACAGAGAAGATGATGGCAGTTACATCTCAGGAATCACCTCCCGGGAGGGAAGGAGTGTGTCTCAGAAGGTGAGAAAGGAGGTGGGGTCTGACATTTTAGGAAGGTCCTGTCCTGAGACAGGGGACAGCCGAGGTGACTGCGTGATGCCCAGGAGGTCACCCTTCACCTACCTGTGATTCCCTCTATCTTGGCTTCCTCTCCTCGATGCCACAGGAGGCAGGCCACCTTATTCTTCAGGTCTGCACGTAGATGCTCCTCCTCTAGGAAGCCTGTTCTGATGCCTTGGCTGAGTCAATTTGCTCGGCTGTGCCCCACAGCCCCCTCCCTCCCCCAGCAGCCCCAGAGCCCTTGGAGGGCAGGGAGCCTCTGTCTGGTGAGGGAGGCTGGTAGATCTGAGAGGAGCCAGGCTTGACTCTCAGCTCTGCCTCTGCTGTGTGGCCTTGGGCAAGTCACTGCACCATGCGGGCCCAGTATTCTCATCTGGAAAGCGGGGACGATAGCCTCTACCTCGCCAGGTTGATGTGAAAATTAAATGAGATCAGGCATTGCATGCACTATACAAATGGCAGCTGTATTATTATAGCTCGTTGCCTGGCACACAGCTTCGTAAATATTTGCCGAATTGAGGAACCCCTCTGGCTCCCCCCTCGCCTGCCTCCACCTTGCATCCCTGTCTTGGGAGGAGAAAAGTAGGTATAAACGAAGCGAAGGATTTGAGGACAGATAGAATCGGGGGCTGGGAGAAGGGAGAGCAGGGCTTTCTGGCATGGCTGGGAGCTGGCTGCTCCAGCAGCATCCGCAGCTTGGCAGGAGGCGGTGCAGGCATCCTGTCACGGCTGTGACCCACCTGTGCCACCATCCTCGTCAGCTAGGTGAAGCAGCTAGGAGAGGTGGGGCTGGGACCCAACTCTGCACTGTGGCCCTCCGAAGCTGCCCACGGCCCGCCAGCACGCACGAGGTGCCCCCTGAACGCGGAGTGGCGGAGGGCATACATGTTGAATGAATGCAGAGGTATGAACTAACGGGCGGATGCATGAATGGAGGTGGGATGGACGCCTCAAG